TGAGTAGGCGCAGCTCCCAGGGCTGCTGTCTACCAATCAGCTCCAGGACACCTGGGGCTCAGAGAGGTGCACTCTCCTTCTGCCCTTTCTTTGTGCTCTGCTTTGACCCATAAGGGCTGACCAAAAGGACAGGAATAGGCCTTAAAATGTTTGCTTTACTGCCGCTGGAAGAAAGGGTAGAGGCACCTGAAAGTCCAGATCAGGGATCTGTAGCATTTTCTGGCACTATGAAGGGAAGTCTAAGAAGGCCTGGAGGAAGCCGTCCACTGACCTGCGCATGTCCCCCCGCGGCTGATTTGAAGACAAGCAAAAGCGTCAGTGGGCACTACTGGGCAGCACCCTCAGGGAGATTAAACTGCTAGTGGCTCTGGGTCCCTCCCTGCCTGTGTTAGCCCACCTTCACCAAACCAGATCCACACTTTATTCCCTCCATGTTTCTACTCACAGTCTTCCCACCACGTGGTTTTCCTCCTTTCCATTTCCTCCTGAAGTTCTACTCCAGGACCCATTTCAAATGCCACCCCGCCACGAATACTTTAGTTTCAACAGGATGTGCCCGTACCCCTCAAACGGGCAGTGTCAGCCTCGGATTGCAGGTATTTATGGGTATGGCTTATTCTCCTATTAAGTTCCTGAAAAACACACTCTCCTTTGCATCTTCTACAGCAGGGTTTTCTAAACTGCAGGTTTCAGCCTATGAATGGGAAATTTAAAAGAAAGAAAGAGAAAGAGAGAAAGAGAGAGAGAGAGAGAAAGGAAGGAAGAAAGAGAGAGAGAAAGGAAGGAAGAAAATAGGAATATCCAAGTGTATCACACATAGTAATAAGCGTTATCTCATGATGCTCTTGTTTCACTTATGTGTATGCATGTACAAGGGGTGGTAGATGGCAGTGTTAAATGTATATTTGTTACTGGGGGTCATGATCTGAAGCATTTGGAAGTCACTGCCCTAATGGTACTTCTGCTCTGCTCTAATATTATGTGAATGATTACTGAATTGAACAGGTTGATGAGTATGAAATGATCCATGTATTATAACTTCAAAGGCTCCAGCTTAAAGGAATATAAAGAATAATGCCTATCTGAACAAAAGTGTGTGGATTCTGGCTTATATGAAGTTATGGAGGAATGGGGTGAGTGGTAGGGAGGATCAGAATATTTATTATACTATTGTATGTTGCTAGACTTTCTCTCCAATGATTAAAACATGTTAACATTTAAGGAAGGTGAAATACAAGCTCATTTTGGAAAACTTTTCTCATTCACTGAAACTACCTCATTACTACAAAGTTCTGCATCTTTAAAATATGCAGTATAGGTAATTCCACCATGACGCATAAAAGGATCTTTCAGAGATACCATGAAAGCTGAAAGCCCTTGTTCAAGTTTTCTTTGCCCACGATGCCTCCAAGTACTCTCAATACCCCCACCCACACCATCTGTCTTCCAAGACTTAGTTCAAAGGCCACCTATTTCATGGAAGCCTTTTTCCTTTTTTTAACTCAATTTTTCCTCTTTCCATCCTCCACCCAAGTCCCAAATATGGTCTTTTTTCTGAATCACCAGTGTTGAAAACTTCCTTTTTCATGTGTGTACTTGTCTTAATTTCCTCACTAGACAATAACACTAGCATGTACAACCTACGCCTTACTCATCCTTACATCCCCCACAGCAACGGGCACAAGGTCTTCTACTTAAGAGATGATCAATAAATATTTGTTAAATGAATTAAATGAAAGCAACAGTTAGCCTGTTAAAACGGATGGTCATTATTTTAAAGGCCCTGAGGAATGCCTTATATGTCTAGCACCTAATCAAAAGCTGGTGGACCACAGAAGGAGGACCAGGGAGTGGAGGGGCAGCCTTGTGCCTCTGCATATCTGCCCCCGTAAACTCATGGAACGCCCAATTCTTCAAAACTCTACAGAACAAAGCTACAGTGTCGGGTGCTGAATGAGTACCTTCACCTTCTTACAAGTCCTCCAGTCTTGCTTCAAACCAGAAATTGGAAGTGGAAACAGAGGTGGAAATTAGCGCTATACTTTTCAACTTTAAGGTATGGCTGAAAAAGCTGAAACAGCCATCTGGATAATTCAGGCTCAAAAAACCCATCTTGAAAAATAAGTATGGATGTTTCTGAGCGGGACAAAGAGTGTGCAAGAAGGCAAAGGAGGTAGTTCTTGAATCATCAATTGATTGTGTATATTGATTATATTCAACAGAACTGAGCTTTTCCCTTTATATCTTCTATACAGTCATTTGAGGACACTTTCTGTGACTGCAAGAACAAACTAGCTCAGATCAAAGCCACACTCACAACTAATAAATTCCAATTTGTTCAATTGGAAAATGATGTCCATCAGTTAGAAAAAGTTCGGCCGGGCGCGGTGGCTCAAGCCTGTAATCCCAGCACTTTGGGAGGCCGAGACGGGCGGATCACGAGGTCAGGAGATCAAGACCA